TTCAGGAGATGTGGGGTGAAAATGTGGAATCTCGTTGTGCCCCCCCCCCCGCCTTGTCTTTTACTACAAGGAAGAACAGAGCCTGGAGCTAATTCCATCTTAGTCTATGAGCCAGTGCCTAGAAGAAGGGAGGGGATCTGCCTCCCTTTCAGAGGGAGGCTTCAGCAATGACTTTGACTCTCCCACCCTCCCAAAGAGCCACCAGAATTCCTTTTTAAGAGAGCAATACCCTGGGGACTGCTGTGTCCAGGCACTGCCATTTAAGGTAAGATGTATTTCATCCATCTGCTGCAATTGCCCTGGAGCCCTCAGTAACAGCGATGTCGTTTCTAATGGCCTTTTGTGATTCCTCATAAACCACTGTGACACTGAGATGAAATTGGCAAGGCTGCATTTTGCCTCTCTGGAGGCCCCAAGCCAACAAACCTGTCTGCAGTCACAGAAACAAGAAACACTAAATGGAGCAACAACAGAAAAGACAAAAAGAGTTTCATACCAAAATTTCCTTACTCACATTATTTATTGTGAGCCACTTGGAGTCTCTGTGAGAAAAGTGGGGTACACATTTTCTAAATAAATCTGGTAGGTTAGTGTTGTGTCTTGCCATTGACTTGTAACGTAAAGCTTGAAACCTCAGCCGGATTGTACTCTGGAACAACACCATTGGCTGAAGCAGGTTTTGTAACCAATGAAATGTAAGAGTCTGTGCTGGAGGGAAGACTAATGATTGGACGTTATCCATGTATTGTGATTGGATGTTAACTGTGTGAGTGTGTGGCTACCCCAGCCCGGGAGAGTTTAAAAGGAACTATGCTCTACTGTTGTTTTGTCTGTGTTGATCATGTCGTCTGTTGCTGTGTGATCTTTGGAAGTTCTTGTTCTCAGTAAAGCTGATTCACTTGTTACTTACTTTGTTGTTGAGTTGCATACTTAACAGTTAGTATTATTATTGTCATCATCAATGTTCCCTCTAAGCTATGCAGTCTTGTGAGCAAGAATTCTACTTTGTGAGCTACTGGCATTGAAGTTGTGAGCGAGCGATGTGGCTACTGCATAAATTAGTTGGCTCTGGAGCCCTCTTTCCTGAGCTGCGACAAAAAACTGTGAGCCGGAGGCTAAAAAACTGTGAGCTAGCTCACACTAACTCAGCTTAGAGGGAACAATGGTCATCATATATCGTAGTCATATTGTAGACTGGGAATGGAGACTAATAAAATAGTGACTCGCATAAGGACACCAAATGGAATTCATAAAAATTGCTTTTGTGGAAATAAGAATTTGTAAGCCGTTAAAGTCATAGTCAAAGAGAAGGTTGCTTGCTCCGGGTTGGGAAATTCCTGCAGATTTTGGAGAAGAAGCTTAGGGAGGGTGGGGCTTGGGGAGGGGAGGGGCCTCAGAGGGATATACTGCCATAAAGTCCACCTTCCCAAGTGGCCATTTTCTCCAGGTGAACTGACCTCTGTCGCCTGGAGATCAGTTGTAATCCCAAAACACCTCCGGGCTTCACCTGGAGGTTGTACCCTAGGACTGGCTCATACTGCTAATGACCATGCTGCACCACTTCACACTCAGTAAAGGTATCCGTTTACTTCTAGAAAGTGAAAATTTCCTAGGGACTTGCTGCATCTCCAAGGCTATTTAGTTATTCTTAGCTTAAGCCATCTCAAGTAGTGGGAAAGGTGGGACAAAATGTTTTAAATAATTAAAATACAACCATCACTTTGCTTGAGGCTTACATTTCTGCTGCTAATGCTCCCCCCTCTCTCTCCTATCATCTCCGATGTGTGGGTAAGGTTACTTATTTTGTCAATAAGCAGGTACATTATAAATGACAGCACAGTACGTACAGATTTAAATCCTGTTTATATTGGCATTCGTCCAACCAATTTTACTATTTGAAAAATAAATCTACTTCTGAAAACAAGCCTCTCTTACTCGCATGGTGTCAAACTTTTTCCTTTGGCCTGTGTAGGGGGCTAGGCCATTGCAACTGTGTAGTGGTGAGGCTCAAACATTCCTGAAGCCACACTTTCTACCTCTGAAGCCGCTACCTTCCCTTTCCCCAAATCATTTTACATACTTGACTGTATGTAGTTCTCACTTCCCAAGAAAGCCACTCTGGGTATGTGCTGAGGTGCCCTCATTGAAGGGTTGCCAACCTCCAGGTGGAACTCGGAGATCTCCTGCTATTACAATTGAGCACCAGATGACCAAGATCAGTTCCCCTGGAGAAAATGGTTGCTTTGAAGGGTGGACTCTCTGGCATTGTACCCTGCAGAGGTCCCTCCCCTCCCCAAACCCCACCCTCCCCAAGGGTCCACCCCCAAATCTCCAGGTACTTCCCAACCCAGAGCTGGCAACCCTACCTCAATGTCATTACCTTCACTACTCTGAGCTCCTTACAGGACAGGCAGGGTAATAATAACAAAATATATTAGATTATGAAATTTAAAAAAAATTAAAAGTATTTTAGGCCTCAGTTTTCACAGTGGTTGAAAAAAGGCGAAGTGCAATCCAAAGCATGTTTACTCAAAAGCAAGTCCCATTGCACTGGAACTCCCAAAATAGCAAGTTAGCTATTGAGTTCCACAGAGTTCTTTATCACGCAGGATAGTGAAAGAAAGAAACCACTCTGTTTAAGGTGGCTTCATATATTCATGTGACCAAGAATTGTGACATTAATACCCACTTCCAGTCTCTGCACCATTTTCCTAAATGTGGCATCAGAATTATTTCAGAACCCGTTTAGGCCATTTTGAGAAATAGTAGCCAGACATTTGGCATTCCGTAGCTGTAAGAGCAATAAGTTCTTTGGTGTCAGAGATCTATTAAACTTATTTACTCAAATGTAAGACTAGGCTTTCCCCCCAGGTATGCCACCAAAAAATGAGGGGGTTGTCTTACATTCACATACTAGTTACAGTTAGATCCAATAATAAAAACATTCTTGTCTATATAACTTTTGTGAGGAAGTGGGGTGGTTGTCATACATTTAGGGCCATCCTCATTTTGTGTAAATATGGTATTTATTTATTGAAATATTTTACCCTGCCATTCCTCTTGACTTAAAGCAGCTTACACCAGTAATTAAAATGCTACAACTTAAAACCAATATAAAATAACAACCCCCCAATCCGCCTCCCCCCAGATGCTCGCTATTCATTGCTGTGGACAATTCTAGCACTAGGTGAGTGATCTGATTTCCCCTGACAAAGCCTGCATAGCGAAATGTGAAGGGACTTTGTACAATAATCAACTATTATTACCTGGCATTTTTTCCTTTTTGTTGAAGTGTAGAAACGCCATAATGTTGACATAAATTTGTAGCCGAATAGCATGGAAGGTTTCTTTTTTTCTTTTTAACCAACCAAACAAAAAACATAGGACATATGTTTCCAAGTGCCTAAATTTAAAGAATAGGCAAGCAAAAGGTCTCACCATGCCTTAACACAGGTTGTCAGGATTATAGGAATGCCTGTGAAACACTTTGAGCATTCTAAAGTGATATACAAATGTTCTACATTATGCTATTATCTGGTCTGCTAAATAATTTCTAGCCCAAGTTCCCCTTTACCCCGATCTTCTTCTTAAGGGTGCATGCCAACCAGGGCTTTTTTTGTAGAAAAAGCCCAGCAGGAACTCATTAGCATAATAGGCCACACCCAATCACATAAACTCATTAGCATATTAGGCAACACCTTGGCAGAACAGCTCATTAGCATATTAGGCCACACCCCATGTTACCAGAAGTGTGGTCATCCAGCCACACCCTCTTTTTGCTTCTTATTCTGTTTACTTTGTTTATTCTCAAAACCCAGGGCTTTTTTTGTAGCAGGAACTTCTTTGCATGCTAGGCCACACACCCCTAATGTAGCCAATCCTAATGAGTTTCTGCTGTTGGGTGTGACCTGTTATGCTAATTAGTTCCTGCTGGGTCCGTTCCTGTGCGTTCCTGCCCAAAAATAGCCCTGATGCCAACCATTAAAAGGGTGGCTTATTCAGGTAAACAAATACTCCACTCTCAAAAACCATGATATACAAATTCTAGCAGCTTCTAATCTGCCATTACATGACAAGCTCCCTTTTGCATTGACTGCCAACCTAGGGTTACCAGCTCTGAGTTGGGAAATTCCTGGAGATTTGGGGGTGGAGCCTGAGGAGTGTGGTATTTGGGGAAGGGAGCTCAGCAGGGATGTGATTGCATAGAGTTCACCCTTTAAAGCTGCCAGGTTCTCCAGGGGAAGATCTGTCTATTGCCTGGAGATGAGTTGTAATTCCAGGAGAACATCAGGCCCCACCCTGAAGGTTGGCAACCCTGCATCAACTGTACCCCCAATAGGTGTGCATTGGCTTCATCACCTACTTGGTCCCCATTTTCTAAGCCCAATCTGTGACACAGAAGGCAGTATTCTGGAAACCACAGACTGGTACCAACTTGACCATTTCTTTAAGACCAGGCTTTCCTCTCCTTTCTAAGAGCTTTATGTCTAATCAGAGCAGTCTACTATGGGATGGCAGAGGTGTTTCTATTCCCTTTTATAGATTCTGCTGCAGGGACCACCGCTTAATGAGCCAGAAAGGGGGGGGGGGCAGAAATCCTCTCTTCATTGTGCTGTATGCTAATTTGCTGCCAGCCCTCTGCCTATATGTATGGACTACTAGCTTCCATTTCATTGTATCTGAAGAAGTGTGTGTGCGCACAAAAGCTTTTACCTTGAATAAAACTTTGTTGGTCTTAAAGTTGCCACTGGACTCAAATTTTGTTCTGTTGCTTCAAATCATCAGAGCTCCCCCCCCCCCTTCTGAAATTTCTAGATTAGAAAGTGATTCACTTTTAAGAAATCCTTTTTGTACCTGTCTACAGTCAATCACTTGGAGTCACTCACAGCCTTACAAAACACCAGTAGGCGGCGCACTTCTTCAGTGCAGCTGGCTCCCTCTCTCCCGAGCTTCTTCCTCCGCTGTCTTTTCTCTATGGCAGCCACTCCCGATGGGCGGGACCGGAGGTCCACTCGTCTCCCGGACTCGCTTCCCTCCCCATGGTGGTGGGGCTTGAGCGGCAGCATCGCTCTGGGTGGGAGCTCAGCTGACGCAGGTGGCAGGTGGCGGCGCGGCCGCCATGGAGAGGCCCGGCGAGGAGGACGACGAGCCGGCTGCAGAGGAAGGGGACGCGCTGGCCTTGCTCATCAGGCGGCAGCGCAAGGAGAAGCGGGATCTGCAGGGTGAGGAGACCCGCAGGGCTCGCGGGGGGGGGGGTGCCGGTGGTCCGCGGGAGCTGCTCGGACTAGGCTGGGGCGGAGGGAGAGAGAGCGCAGAGCCCTGAGTGCCAGGGCCGGGTGGGTTGGAGGAGCATGCCTGGCCTGCTCCCGGCTTTGTATTTATTTGGCTTGCAGAGCGTGGTGTAGTGAGATTCTCGGACTAGGATCTAGGAGGCCCAGTTTAGAATTAGTCCCCACTCTGTCGTCATGGAAGCTTGCGGGATGGCCTTGGGCCAGCCAGCCCACCCTCTCTCAGCCTAGCTTACCTCTCAGCGCCGTTAGGAAGATAAAACAGAGAAAAGGAGAACAGTGTAAGCTGCCGTGTGGTCCCACTGGGAAGAATCGTGGGGTATACATTTAATTATACCGTATAAATGAAGTGGACAGATAAGTCTTTTTAAAAAATGACGTTTCTTGAAGCAGTTTTCAGTATTGGTGGTTTGGGTTTTTTTTGTTTTTAATGAAGGGAAACATACGAAACTGCCTTAGACCATCTGCCATTGTCTCACCTACTGTCACTGTCAGCAGCTCTCCAAGGTCCCAGGCGAAGAAAGGTCAGCAGTGAAGTTCCTGAGATCCTTTGGCTGGAGGTGCCAGGGACTGAATCTGCAGCCTTCTCCATGCAGTAGGCGTTTTGCCTTTGAATCGTAGCCCCTCTCTCTGCTGATGGCAGCAGCCACAGATGAAGTTGCAATTCTTCTTCACTGTGAGGCAGATTTTTCCTGCCAAAATTCTTAGTTTCCTCGAGGTACTGAGTTGGCCCCCTAGTAGCGTGATAATATTGAAGCTTTATATATCAGAATGTCACACCCTTTGACAGAATTTAATTTGGCTTTTGCCCAGCCCAGGAACTTGTCAGGAGAAAACAGGAGCCCTCTTTTTAGATCCCTTGCGATTTTACCTCGGACACTTCTAGCATTTGTATAGAAACAGCTGTAATTTCCCTTACAAGTTAAGCCTGCATCCTTCCTCTTGCTATCTCGAGTCGTTGTCCGGCAGTCCATGTCACCAGCCATGGCCTCTGTGGACAATTTCAATCCACCTCCCTGTAGAAAAGCAACCGGTACCCCCTCACCTCTCTCAGATGAGCCAACCCGAACCAGAGACTTTTCATCTCCTGTCGGCTTTTCATCTCCTGAAATGGCAGTGGAGACTGTGTAACAGTGATGGTATGGGGTAGTCAGGAATTGGAAAGGCTGAGGTAAATGCTGGTAAAACCATATATTTTCCAGTTGACAGAGAAGATGGTGTTGTAGCATCTTATTTTTACAAATTCTTGGTTCTTACCGGTGAGAGATGGTTGACTACGTCCTTTGGTTTCAGTTACAATATTTCTGCATATAGTTTCCTAATAACTGTTCAGATTTTCTGGAAAGGTCACACTGTCAGTGTATCAAATTCTTTCCCCTTTTCTGAAATCACAATGTGTTTTCTATCCCCTGAATAGTCTAGAACCGTTTCCTTTCACTACAGGCCAGGGACTGCCTCAGTGCCAATATTATATCTCTTCTATTATATTTCTTCCCTGAAAATATAATCCAGTTCCTTTTGGTGGCCTGATTGGGAGCTTCAGCCTGCTGCTACCCAGTCACTCTTTGCCAAAATCTCAAGCCCCAGTTTTTCAGTCTGTGTGAAAATGGAGCTCAGCTTTAGCTGACACTAGACTCTGAATCCTTAGATGGAATTCTATATCAGGTTATGTTTAACACAGCTAAGAACAGGAGTCTCTTCCTTTATTCAAAAGGTGAACCTGTGTGACAGACTTTTGGTCAGAGTCTTCAGACATCCATGAACAGTAACTGCCACTGAACACAAAATGAACTAACTCTCCCCTCAGCACGCAGTTGATCTTATATTTCCCTCAGCTGGGGCTGGCCAGTCAGAGAAAAGGAGCACCCTGTCACTCAAGTTCAACATTCTAGAGCAGAGTTAACTGTTCACCCCTCTTCTCTGATTTTGCTGCAACAGGAAAACAGCAATTTAAATGTAGTCCGTCACAGCTGGACACATGGATTCTTAAGTAGGCAAACCTTACCAAAACAGAATAAACTGTAATAATCTGACTAATTAAAAAAAAATAATTAGTCAGGTTATCATGGTTTATTCTCTTTTGGTACATGTGTTTCCGTGATTCTCTCTGTTCTGTGGCAAACTGTACCCGGCAGAATCTGTCTTGTACTGACTCAGTCCACTGAGTCTGACTGCTAATCCAGGGCTGTGGGTTGGGCCCTTTGGTACAGACTTTGTAGCACTCCTGCTGCATGCCATGCTTCGAGGGCAAAGAAGCCACAACAGCTGCTGATTGGGCAAACCTACAAATTGGATGGTTTGGTGTAGTGGTTAAGTGCACGGACTCTAATCTGGGAGAACCAGGTTTGATTCCCCATTCCTCCACTTGCACCTGCTGGATGACCTTGGGCAAGCTATACTTCTGTCAGAGCCGTTCTTGAAAAAGAGCAGTTTCTGTCAGAGCTCTCTCAGCCCCACCTACCTCACAGGGTGTCTGTTGTGGGGAAGGGAAGGGAAATGAGTTTGTAAACCGCTCTGAGACTCCTTTGGGTAGTGAAGGGCAGGGTATAAATCCAATCTCTTCTTCTTTTTCTTTTTCTTCCTCTTCTTCTTCCTCTGAGCTTTTGGACAGGACACTAAATAAGTAAATGGTTCTGCAGTTGCAAATGAAAGAATATGCAGATACTGCTTACGTGGGTTACAGCTGTTTATTTATTTTTTTAAAATGACCTTATCTTATTATAGCTACCAGCACAGAGCAAACTAAGCCACACATGATCAGAGTGCAGGTATGTGGGAGATCTTATTTCACGAACCACCCTTCCATTTGTGGATGGTGGACCGAGGATTTGCAGTACATATGTTTAAGACGAGCCAAACATACAGCAGAATGTAGAGATTAGTGTACCTGTGTTACACACTGCAAGAGTGCCCAGGTTTTGAGGAAGAATGGGATGTCCAGTAGCTGCCAGGAACGTGTCTTTCCTTGTGGCATGAAGGTTCATTTGCTATGATAGGTTAACTTTTGGCTGGTGTTATTCAGAAGCTTATTGATGGAACAGTTAAAACACTTCCCTGCAGTATATGCGGTACGGCCATGCTGCCTGTTTAACTCTTAAAAACTGTATCTGTGTTACAGAGTTGGGCTGCTGCTGTTCTCTGGAATGCAGCATAAGGTACTGCTGGAGTCTTGCCTGCAAAACCCCCTCGCGTGCTGCAGTTGCACTGCATGCGGGAAGATAATTGCTAAACCTGGTCAGAGCCATAGTTATGGCAGCTGCTATCCTGTTTCAGCACTGGGAAAGGAGAGAAGACTGATCTCTTCCTCTGTTATGCTGACCCCAGGGCTGGACAGCAAGGCTCTGTGGGTGCTGCATAACAATGCATGTGATAAACCACAAAATTCTAAGACTTTGGAATAGTTTTTAATTAGAAAGCTTGATGAGTATTTGTGAAGTGTTTGCAGTTCTCTCAGACTGTATTTTTGCATTTGCTTGATTTTGTGATACAGTCCCTTCCAGCTAGGCCTGTAGCCAGGATTTTGTGGCTTGTGGGACACATTTTTTTCTGGTGGGGCTGTTCTTAGTGCAGAAAGAAAAGTCAGAATTCTGAGGATTATGACTTGCTACTGTGGAATCAAGCCTTTTAAAATCAAACCATAAAGGCTTCTGCAAATCTTAGCCCCCGAGTATGACAATAACAGGCTGAGGAGGGGGGAGAATAAATTTTCTGGTAGATGGTAGGCATGGCACTGGAAATACTTATCTGGGTTTGGCCAGTAAACTCACTCTAATTTGTATTAAAACACATAAAACTTTATTCACAAAAACAAAGGACAAACAACACATAGAGGAAAGAATGTATACAGTTCAGCAAGGAATGCAAATCAAAACAAAAAACCTAAATAGCTATTCTACTCACTACTTTTCCTATCAGGCTCATAGCTCTGGCATCTCAACTGGCGGTCCTGATGAGCAGAGTCTCTAGAAGCATAGCAGCAGGGTAGAAGCTAAAGAGAGCTTTGTGGTAGTCTCTTCTCTCTCTGAGTCTTCTCAAGCTGTCTATTCTACATAGGTGTTCTTAACCATTTAGCCAATAGAAAGCTGTTACCAGGATAGAACTGTAAACTGTCAACCACTTTAGATGAGAGTTCTTGGCTGCTGCAAGTTAATCACTTGTCAGCCTAAGCAAAAATTCTAATAACAAACTGGCAGGTGGGGGTGATGACTTCTATAGTCAAGAAAGCTAACACTTAGGCAGACAAACTCTCTTAAAAGAGACCAGTTTCTTGACACAGAGTTCGAAGGGATCCTAGAGGTCACCTACTCCAACCCCCTTGCTCAGTGCAGGAATTAGTCAACTACATCACCCCACTCTACCTAAAGGAGCGCACGCCTTTAAATAATTTTTAAAAAGATTGGAAAAAAGCATTTACAGGAGAAATTCTTGCGGGGCTGTGCTTTTAAGAAAGGGTATGGAGCCCCCCAAAGCCCCACCGTATTTACGGGCCTGCTTCCAACAATGTTGGGGCAACATGAAAACTCATTCTTGCCTATAAAACTTTAATTGGGAAGGGTACCTGAAAGACCGCTTCCTTCTGTACGGTCCAGACAGCTAATTTAAATCCTCTTTCCAAACCCTGCTGTCTGTTCCCCATCATCTGTGCCTGCAGAAGAGAGTCGAATGGTAAACAGAGGAAAGACTTTTTCAGCAGTGGCACCAGACTTTTGGAATGCCCTCCCCTTTGAGACTCACTTGCCACCTACTTTAGAAGTCAGGCCAAAACATTTCTCTTTCCTCAGTCTTTTAACAAAATGCTTCCATCTCTTTAGAGGCTGCTCTTATAGCCTGCTTTAAGCCTAAGGGTTATTTTATGGGGGCACCATTTTAAGTTGCAGAGTATGTTTTTTTCCTATTTTTAATGCCCCAGTGGGCTCTTCGTTTGTTTTATGGCTAGTTTTAATACAGGCAATGGTAATGTGCTACCCTGATACATATCTTTTTTTTGCAGGGGGGATGGCTTTTTATATTGTCAGGTTCGGGAGACCTATCCGAGTTTAATGCTTACTGTTCCCGCGTATATGACAGATGTAAAATTTAAGTATTAGACTTCATAAGTATTAATAGTGATTTAAGAATAACCTTTAGATGTTTATCATTTGTTTAATTGGCTTGTGTGCCTGCAGCTAAAATCCAGGGGATGAAAAATACTGTTCCAAAGAATGATAAAAAGAGAAGAAAACAGCTTACAGACAGTATTGCCAAACTGGAGGCGGATCTGGAACAGAACCATGAAGAAGAGCTGAAGAAACTGAAGGAGACAGTACCTGAGCAGAGTGAGGTATGTTAACTTGATTTCTGAAAGCCCGTGGGCACGGTTTATTCTTAGTCTTAGCATAATGACCTCTGGAATTTTATATATATATTCATTAATGAATTAGGTTTTCATCTGGAAGCCATTGGTGTCTTTTCATCTTGGTAACAGTAAATCTTTGTGCTCTTCTGAGGTGTGCAGCACATGAGTAGCTGATAAAGAGCACAGGTAGTTCTTGGGAATCAAACTAAGTAAAACCTAGACAAATAAGGTTGTTGTGTGAGATGCATTCACATGCTTTAGATCAGGGGTGTCAAACATGTGGTCCATGGGCTGGATCAGGCTTTTATCCAGCCCGCAAGGAACTGTCTGTCTCCTGCTTCTTTCTCCTTTTCTGCTGCTGAGTCACAGCTTGCTTTGCCAGACTCTCTCAGTTGCACAAGCACCTTTAAGACCAACAAAGTTTTATTAAAAGTATGGGCTTTTGTGTGCTTTGCTACAGTGTATGTTTTGTTGGGCTTGTTATGCCAGGGCTCTCCTGGGTGCAACTGGGTCTCTCTCCTCTTTCTCACTGTAATCATGCCCTCATGATCCAATCTTTCTCAGTAGGAAAGCAGTGTGAACTATTTAGATAAGTTATAACAAGCTAGTGAGGTGGATTAGGCTGAGAGTGTGTCACCCAGCGCATTTCCTTTGTAGACTGGAGGTTTTGAACCTAGACTCCTCAGATAGTAGGCTGATACTGACCACTACACATGACTGTCTCTCTATTCTTACACTGCCTCATAGGAGTTGCAGTTATTTATCTGGGGAAGTCTATAGTTTTGTAGACAAACACATAGCCCTCAGTCTATGTCAGGATGCCTTCTCATGTTCTTGACCAGCACATGAAGCAACTTATGTATAAAAGCTTGCAATGCTCAGCCATTTCATGTTTTCCCATAGGTCCTAGGCTCAGAACACTGAGCATGAGATTTCTGTAATGAATGTCAATAAATCAAAAGTCGGTTTGCAGCTTACAGATACACACCTGAACAGCACACTCAAGGTTGCTACAGCACAGACATTTTGATGCAATAATTCAGAGCAAGAGAGTTATCAGAGACTGTTAAATAAACAAAATATTGCAAGAGTGCTAGTGTTTTAAGCATGTTTTATTTAAAGTTTTTTAAAAATCTCTAATTATGTTTGTGTCCTTTATAAAGTTTATATTTCTGCTACCTGGCATTACATTTTATGACACACATGGCCTGGCCCGTCAAGGTCTCATTTATGTCAGATCTGGCCCTCATAACAAGTGAGTTTGACACCCCTGCTTTAGATGTTTATGGTACTTCCCAGGAAACCACAGAAGTTGTGTGTTCCAGTTCCCAGGACCAGACAGATTTTATTTGCTTTTTTGTAGAACAGCAAATGGCTGACTCTCTGTCCATGGTGTCTGGGCTTTAGGTCAGTGCTCTGCGTTAGAGAAGCTTGCCTTAATTTGGCTGTCATCAGTGCTTCCTTGGAATGTTAGAGTGCAGTTTTACTATTCTTCTTCTGCCTGATCTGTTGAAGACTTGCAACTTCATAAACTCTGTTTTTAGCAGCCTGGCTAGTGGGCCACAATATTTGTCTGGCAGCTGCGTGTGGTGCAGAGTTGTCAAGCACTAAGAACACTGTCCCATACTACAGTTGTTCTTATGCTAGGGAAATAAAGCAGGACTCCTGAATCTTTGCTCTCTCTCTCTCTCTCTTTGTATTTTTCATATTTGTGTGTGTGAGTGAGTGAGCGCCTGGAAGTCATGGCAACCTCTGGTGACTGACCCCTACTGTGGGCCTGGAGGATATTCAGAGAGGTGGCTGAATAAAGCCTTCCCCTGCCTGCCACCTCAGATATTTCAGGGAGGTCTCCTATCCAAGTACTTGCCAGAGTCCACCCTGCTTAGCGTCCAAGATCTGATGAAATTGGGCTTCCCTGGGCTATTCAGGTCAGGGCCTGAATCTTTGCTTTAAAGGTTGAGCAATACCTTTGGAGTGGTGCATGGCTATTTTGCATGTGTGTGTGTGGGTGTCATGTTTTAAAAAAATATTGGAGGTCTGTAAGGCTAAACCTCAGAAAGGAATAACACTGTATTGATTTATAATCAAGTTGCCTGTAGAGGATGATTTCTAATGTGCTGGAGTTTTCATGGATCTGAAAGATGCCAGTGTCCAAGAGCCCTATATTTACCCTGAAGTTGAAATATGAAAAGATTGCCAAGCTGTTAATTCCATGCTTTGTTTATATATAATTAGGTAACTTTTATCATTTAGGAGGATTCAGCAGCTGTAAGTATGGCAAGATTAGAGCTGGAGAACACACAACTGGTACCGCCTCCTCGAATATCAAAAGCACAGAAGAGGCGGGTAAGATTCAGATTTGAAAGGATTTTTTCCCCTCCTTGGTGATGTATTTGTGAGCAGCATGTAAGACTAAATGCTAAGATCCAGCTTCAGTGTGAGATCAGTGCAGATGGATAGTGTGAAGTTGGCTCTGAGACCCAAATCCAGCCATGTGGCTCAGATAGAAGCTGTCATCAACATAAACTACGATACTTTAGGTAGTGATGGCTCAGAATCCCTTTCAACTCCTAATTCTGTATTTTAGTAAACTTTCCCCATATACCAGCAGTTGGGTCAGAGTTAGTTATAGTGAATTTGCTGCATTAGCTTTCTAAGGTGTCTTGCTATGGACACTGAGTTGATAGTCTTTGTAGAAACAGGCCTGACATTATATTAGAATGAATAAAATATGTGAAGGTTGCCCTAGATCCACAGACATAGCTTTCTGGTTGAAGGGGAAGCAGATTAAACATCAGTCAACATTCCCCCTTCCCCCAGCCAGAGGGTTATGTGGGATTTTGCTTACAGATTAGTCATCTGATATAAAATTCAGGTGTGGATCAAGTTACTAATAGTTAAAGTGTTATATCTGTGGATCATCAAGTTACTAATAGTTAAAGTGTTATATTTGGTATGTCATCTCAACAATTTTTGCTTTGTACTTGCCCCATGTCCAGTCATATTAGTTTCCATACAAGTGGCACTGAGCACTATGAACTTTAAATTTAAACTACAGGGTTCCAGAGGAAGCCCCTTTAAACAGCTGAGCCACAGGGGCAGCTTCCTTGGTGTGGCTGAACTGTTCAAAGGGGCTTTCTTGGGCAGCCAGCCCCAGGGGCTGACTCCAAAGAAAGCCCCTTTAAACAATGAACCGTGGGAACATGCTGCCCCCATGGCTGAGCTGTTTCCCATCTAAACAGCTGAGCCTCAGGGGCAGCCTACTGGGTGCCACTCAGCTGCTTAAAGGAGCTTTCTTGGGCCACCGGAGCTGCCCAAGAAAGCCCCTTTAAACAGTTGCGCCGCACAGAGCAAACTGCTCCCGTGGCTGAACTGTTCAAAGGGGCTTTCTTGGGCAGCCAGCCCCAGGCTTGGAGCCATTTAAACCCCTTTCTCACTGAGATTGAAGTTGAGTTACACAGTCAACAGGATGGGACATCCAATAGACAATATAATGTGATTAGAATTGCAAAAATCTGAAACCAAGCTGAAACAAAATGTCAGAATTAACATGAGATGTTATAATGTAGAAATTACATAGCAGGATAATACTTACAGCAACAGGTAGTACATACTATATTACAAACATGTAAGACCATATAAGCGTGGTCAAATGTGACGTTTCAGTGTACTTTATTGTTTTCAAATTGCAGGAGAAAAAAGCTGCATTGGAGAAGGAAAGAGAAGAAAGAATAGCAGAAGCTGAGATAGAAAATTTAACAGGAGCTAGGCACCTTGAAAGCCAGAAACTAGCACATATTTTGTCAACAAGGCAGCTGGAAATCAAACAAATCCCCTCTGATGGACACTGCATGTACCGAGCAATTGAAGATCAGCTCAAGGAGCAACAAAACTCCTGGACTGTTGCAACTCTTAGAGCCCAAACTGCAGAGTACATGAGAACTCATGTGGATGACTTCTTACCGTTCCTGACAAATCCAAATACAGGTGATCTATACAGTCATGGTAGGTGTTTTTTGTTACTTACATTTCTGCTATTTGTATATTTCTGCTATCCTAAGCATAGTGTCAGTTTCTGTTACTGATAAACTTGATTAATGCCAGTTGCATGTCATGCTTTGTTTACATAATCTGTGCCAAATCTTAAGGACTTCAACTAGGTACTACTAGATATGTTCAGCATAAGCTTACAAATAAGCCCTGTGGTTTTGAATGTTACTTCCAAGTAGGAGTGCTTAAAGTAAACCAATTGCAATATAAGAGCCCTGCTGGATCAGACCACTGGTCCATCTAGTCAAGCATCCTGTCTCACATAGTGACTGCCCAGAAATTTTGGGGGAAATTGAAATATATGCAATACTTAGTTTCCTTTCAAACCTGAACTTCTTTCACTTGTTCAACCACATAAAATGCATAATTTCTAATGTAGCTAGTATATAAAATTATAGGATTTTGCATATATATGTTCATTTTCTGTAAGAAAAACTCAAGTGTACCCAATACACGAGAATGAGTTGAAGACAACTGCACCTTATGTTGCCATAGCACATGTATGTTTAATGTTTGCCCTCTGAGAGGTAGAAAAAGATAAAAGCTGAAGGTAGAAAATGTATTAAGCAAAAGAAAGTGTATCATCTGGATTTTAAGCTAAGCTTTATAACAATGAAAACTGGTATGAATCTGAAATTTGTATATAATTGTATCTAATAACTATTCTGGTTTTGTATTATTTTTGTGTCTAAACTGCATTTAGGAACTTTTTAACATTTACGAATTATTTCAGTGTATTGAGACCCAAATAGTCAATTGTTTTATAAATTATATCTCTACATGATTCAAATTGAAGAAATAATTTGAGATGGATTCAATCGGAGATGCCAGTTAGTTGGATAAAGCCCTGTTAGGTCCTGTGTTGAATTCCCCCCCCCCTCTTATTTTTTTGTTATAGCTTTTATTTTACATTGTGATGAAATAAATTAAATTTTGTAAACTTTTCCTATTAATAAATTTAAAAAGAAATCTGGTATGAACTTTTTAATAATAATAATGATTCAAAATATTATAGTGTGTTAATTGTTGCCAAAATTATTTACAGTTAAAGAAAAAAATCTTAAGTTTTGCATATGTCTAGAATATAAGACTTCTTTTCCCCAGTGCTTCCCAGAATTTCTCAGTTTTTCCATTTGAGAAAGTCCTCAGACTGTTTCATGCTGTACATTTGGCATAAGTGAAATGCATTGTAAGTCAGGCCTTTTCTCACTCAAAGAGATAAATGATTTTGTAAGAATTTTTTCAGTATTTCCCAATTTTTCTATTGGTAAAAATCTTTAAATGCCAGAAACTTCTACGCATTTTGTTCTCAGACTTTGTCATGCTATATTATTTATTTATTTTATTAGATTTGTATCCCGCCCTCCCTGCATAGCAGGGCGGGCTCCATCAATTGCCACATACAAAAACCTAAAAACAATTAAAATACATCAGATAAAAAATACAACAATATTCCTATGTGCTAATCAGTGCCTCAACAGATAAGGGTTTGCAGATTGGGATTCCTAGATGGTAAACAATACAGATGGTAAACTATATATTTTGAGTCTGAAAAACTTTGTCTTAAGAAGCATTTTGACTCATTTTAAGAGAGGAAATATTTCACAGGAGTGGGGTTTTTTCATCAATGCTGCTCAAATTTAACGGAGAAATTGACAAAAATAATTCCTCCCATTTTGCCACATTCTGCTAAGAGAGACTAACTCAACGATTTTTTTCTCCCCACAGATGAATTTGAAAAGTACTGTTGTGATATAGCAAACTCAGCTGCTTGGGGTGGTCAGTTAGAAGTAAGTATAGCCCCTGCATAGACCTCACAAATAATGTCTTACATTTTTTTTAATATTTGCAAGAAACAATAAGTTATCATAATTGAATAAGGGCAACACGAGCCTTATTTTAGAGAAAATCAACAGCTTAGGAACATTTTCATGTTATAGTAAATGGCAGAAACACTTCATAAAGAGATCACTGCCCATACTGATGTTGTTCCAAGGTATATATTCCTCTAGGAAACCCTGAGTCTTGCAAAAGAATCGCAAAACTAAAAAAAAAAAATCCAGGTGGAGGAATTTACCCCCCCCCCAAACAGAGAAGCAATGTGAGCACCTATGCATACATTGCAGCTAAAAAAAACCCACTTTATTTTACTTTATTTTATTGGATTTATAACCTGCTCTCCCAGAACCAGCTCAGAATGGGTAACTTCAATTTATTTGCAAGATCACAGTTAGCATTAAGAGAAACCCCATACAACTAGGCATTAAGAGGGGGCAGCCAACAGGAGGGGCAGAGAGCACCATTGGCAATGACAGAAAGGGAAGGAGGAGGGAGAAAATAGCTGCATTGTAAGGCTTGGCAAGCAAGAAAGTGGCAGACAGGTTGGGGCGGAGCAAGTGAGGGGAAAGGAAAGGAGATCCAAAGGGGCAGAGGCTATTTTGCCTTCCCTGCATGTCCTAGGGATTACTCCTGTTGCCTATACAAAACATGAGTTTACATTTTATGCTGCAGTTTATCTGAACTGTAGCTTTTCTCAGCATGTTCTGCTAATGATTATATGACAATCATAATGTTTATGGATCCACATATAATTTTCTTATATTACTCTCGTTATTGTGTTAAAAGACTTTGACACTATATCTTGGACTGATAATAATCTATTGCTTGTTTCTATTGCTTGAGAGCCAGTTTGGTAGAGTGGTTAGGAGTGCAGACTGTAATTTGGGGGAAACGGGTTTGATTTCCCACTCCCCTGCATGCAGCTGCTGGTGTGACCTTGGGTCAGTCACAAGTTCTTTCAGAGCTGTTCCCTCAGGGGCAGGTCTCAAAAGAGCTCTCTCAGCCCCACCTACCTCACAGGGTGTCTATTATGGGGAGGGGAAGGGAAAGGAGATTGTAAACTGCTCTGAGTCTCCTTTGGGTATTGAAGGGCAGGGTATAAATCCAATCTCCTCCTCCTCCACTTCCTCTTCTTCGTCTCCATTGTAAAACCCAATTAGTGAACTTTATTTATTTATTAAAACATTTATGTCTCGCCTTTCCTCATGGTTCAAGGGTGCTACTCAGCATTTTGCCTCTAATGATATCAAAGAGAGAAGCAATATTAGTTTGGAGTCTATACTGGATCAGTCTAGTTTGGACAACTGATTGTGTGATTTTGCACTTGACTTTCATTTTGCTTTGGTAGTTGATGATGCATAAAACATTTATGCCTCACCTTTCCTCATGGTTCAAGGGTGCTACTCAGCATTTTGCCTCTAATGATATCAAAGAGGGAAGCAATATTAGTTTGGAGTCTATACTGGATCAGTCTAGTTTGGACAACTGATTGTGTGATTTTGCACTTGACTTTCATTTTGCTTTGGTAGTTGATGATGCATCAGACTGTGCTAGTATCATTCCTTGAACATTATTAAAGTTCAGAGTCATGTAAGTCTGTGGCTGCCATGGCTTACTACCTTTAAGTGTTTGCTGCTGCTCAGTCCAATTCAGCATTTGCAAAATTCAGACTTGTAGACAGTATATGAAAGTTCACACTCCCAAAATGTTTTATATTCAAGGTGTCACAAAGATTTAATTTTCATCTTTATTAGGAATTTTTAAAAATATCTAAAACAGTTTAAGCTTTGCTAACTCTGTTATATGTTGAACCAAAATAATATTGTGTAAAGATATGATCAGTGCATTGTAATGTTGTCTTACAGCTAAGGGCTCTATCGCACATCTTGCAAACACCAATTGAAGTAGTACAGATGGATTCTCCTCCCATTATTGTTGGTGAAGAATACAGTAGGAAGCCACTAATACTTGTGTAAGATACTTTAAACTTTGTGGTTCAACAGTGTTAAATGAAGGCCATATAAATGACTGGAGTTTGAAAATATAATCTAATGCACCGTTGAGTTCTTTAGTATTTGAACAAGTCTGTGAATGAGTGAAGAAACATGTTTTTTTACAAGTCCATTGAAATCAGGTAAATTTGCATAGACTGCAGTCTTTGAACAAATACCTAGAAATAAGACACTGAATTCAGTAGAACATATTTTTTGAGTAAACGTTCATAGGATCAGACTGTGAGTATTTTGTAAGAGCAAATGCATTCAACTTCTGTCACTTGCTGGTATGGCTGCAGTTTGGTATTGGACACATACACAATAAGATGCTTTTCTAGATCAGGGTCCTTTCTCTCTTGCAGCGTATAGACAGTGGGAAGAAAGTTATTAAGGTTATTTCACATTCCATACCTCCAGTGGAGGCTGGCAGTGAAGCCTTAACCACAACTAAATGTGGGAGGGCTAGTAATTAAAGAATTTTTCTAGGCTGGAGAAGTAATTTGACTCTAAAAAACAATAGTGAAGGTTGAAACTAGCTAATTTTGCCACGGGTTTTTCCATGCTGCTTTAACTTTTTCTAAATAATTTTGATGACTTCAAAACTTTTTTAAAAAAAGCTTCAGCTTTGTAAATATAATAAGAGTTTCACAGTTGGGTATTTGTGGCAGGATTGAGGGTGTGAATGCTGGCATTAAGACCTTGTTCAGACAGACAGGGGAATGAAGACAGAGAATTGTGTCCCTTTTCTCCTGTTCTTACAGTAGAAGAACTCCTAGGCATTAAATGAAATTAAAGAGCAGTAAGCTTAGAACAGATAAAAGGAACTACTTCTTCATCCAAAGAGTAATTAACACGTGGAATTCACTGCCTCAAGAAGTGGTGGTGGCTACAAGCATAGAGGGGATTGGATAAACATAAGGAGCAGAGGCCCATCAATGGCTATTAGCCACAAGGTGTAAACGAAACACTGTGTCTGGGGCACTGATGCTCTGTATTCTTGGTGCTTGGGAGGCAACAGTGGGAGGGGTTCTGCAGTTCTGGCCCCGCTGGTGGACCTATTGACGGCACCTGGGTTTTGGCCACTGTGTGACACAGAGTGTTGGACTGGATGGGGCATTGGCCTGATCCAGCATGACTTCTCTTATGTTATTACAGAAATGCCAAGGTGGTAAATGGACTATACCACATCAGACTGCAGGTGGTAGATTCCAGCTTTGAATGTATCTTGCATAAAAAGCTCAATGCAGATAGAAAACCAGCAGAGAGTTCCATTCCATCTGCTTGCTTGCATAACTGGCTGTTTGCAGGGAGTTTAAACAAAGCGTGTTATAAAATGTGATGCTCTTTGATTATCCACCTACAGTTGTGCAGTCTATTCTGTTATCTTGGCATTTTCCCATCTCATTCCTTGTTTAAGCTTTGTTCCATGAATAAAAAGTTAGAGTGGGGAACTGGAATTTAGTTAAGGAAGTAATTTTTTAAGGTTAATTTGGAATTGAGGCTTGCTTACAGTATTGGTTAATGGTAAGATCATAGATAATCCAATACAATGTTAGATTTGCTTTCTTGGGAGGCAAGGTTGCATTCTGAGTGCCAGCCCTTTCAGAGCTGAGAAATCTGTTCAGTTGCTCATCTCCTCCATATTACTGTGAAGAGATTGTAAAAGTGCAAGGCTAGAGTCAGGGAAGCTTAGAGATGGTCACTCTTATGGAACAAGCCTCCTTGGGAAGACATGGTCTTTGTCTCCTTATTGCATATAAATCAATTTTGATTCATCTAGTTAAGTTCCACATATGCTTTTTAGTGGGGGAAAAGAGGGTTTTGATCTTTGCTGAACCTTTTCATTGTGCTTGAGTTTGTTCCTGATATTCACTTTGTATATTTGCCACATTCAGTAGTAAGCAAGTAACTTATACTCTGTATAATGTCTTGAATATTCATTATTCTTTTTGGTTCTAGGTATATGAAACATGCTTATGGATTAGGAGAACATTATAATTCTGTAAAACCTCTGTCGGACATAACTACAGATAATGAATCCTAGTACACAGTTCCTCAGAAGATGTGAACGATGGATATTTAGCTCTTCACCTTGGGATAGGTCTTAAAGCAATTTCTGTCAATTTTAATAAGACACAGATGGTTTGGGTATGTGTGTGTGTGTATATACATATCAGAAATCCTTTTTAAGCAGTATAGATTCTGATGCAATCATGTTTTAGAAAATTGTCCCTAAAGTGTTTGTAATGCAATTCACAATAAATTGTATATTACAAAATATTTGGTTTGCACTGCATACTCTGCTTGGTGGCAATGTAATTGGTATGTGGGCTGCTGTTGCAGTACATTTCCTATTAAGAGTATTCATTAGATGCAAGTAGAAATGTGAGATGCTTTAAGTAGCAATATGAAATTGAAATACTATTGAAGTGATATTAGGGCATGGTTCTGTGGTGCCTTTTACAGTTGAAGTGCTTTAAACGATACTTGTGACTTTTTTCTTTGCCGAACTTCTCACAGAGTAGTGGTTGAAGTGCTGAACATTACAGATTTATTTGAGTAAGAGGCTCAGAAACCCAGGTTTGGTTTTTATAGGCTTTAGCCCTTTTAAAAATGAATTTTGATTTCATCTTTGCTAATAAACAGCTTGACTGCTTCTTTCTGCACCTTAACATGTAGAAAGAGCATTCCTAAGAAGAGATTGTGTTGCTATCCTAAACAAAGTTACACTTTTCTAAGCAGATTGATTTCAGACGTGATATAGCCTTTACATGGTAACCTGGAAATGCATGGCATTTTTATTCCATTCTTCCACAATTTGTGCAAAGTGATTTACAACCAGGGCCGGCCGTGTTCCTGCGCCCTAGGCGAGCGCAGTTGCCAACCTCCCGGTGAGGCCTGGAGACCTCCCAGCTGGCATGCGGCACCTTGGGGCGGAGCTTGGCTTGGCCACCCATTCCCTGGGTCTTGCAGGCGAAGTGCCCAGTGCGCCTCCTCCAAGGAGAACGGGTGTGTTGCGTGGCTGGAGCGCTGCCGGTCCCGGCGGGGGTTCAGCCTTTTCCTAGCGGAACTCCATCTCCTGCGCAGCCCAATTGGTCCCGGGGCTTGTGCAGGGGCTCCGCCTGCTAAAGTGCGCCGTGCAGATGTTTGGGCCTTGCCAGCTAAGCGGACGTAGCACCTCCTCCTCCTC